GGATATGGTTTTCTGACTGGACCGTGACTGATGGTCGGAGATCGGGTGTGACCAATTGAGGGTGTAATTATATGTGCCTGTAAAAGTTTTCGGGACTTATTATTGACAATATATAGGGCAACATTTGATCGGCTTGGTGCAGAGGTGAAAATGATTGGACCGCTTTGTATATGGATATTATATACAGTGTACCCGAGAGAAACAGTTTTCTTCTGTCAAACTCCCGTAGAGGCATACAGTCAGTCGGGTAGGTACACTGTTACACTCGAGGACTACCTGGAGATGACCCTTGACCTCTGATGTCACTTGTCTGTTATGCATTGTAAACAGAGCAGGAAGAATTTGTGGAGTCTGTTTGTGTAAGGATTCCAGGAGGATTTCACCGGCTTCTCCAATGTTTGATGTAGTAAGACAGGTTGACCTTTGACCTATGAGCCAGTCCACGTAACTGATACTAATATTTGAACTACAATTTTCCCAATCACTGGACTCGCAGTGTTTTAATTAGAGGAGGATGTTGATGAAAATGAACTTCTGACTACCATATTTGGCAGAGTGATCAATTCTGTTTGTAAACAGATGACTCGAGGGGGTCTGAGGAACCTGAACCGAGATTGCTGGGGATCTTTTTCTGTTCTGATGTGTGTGTGTGTGTTACTGCTAAAATCTCAATCCACAATTACACCGACCATGTGATCGACCATGTGATCGTATCTGGTTGTGTAATATGATAACCGTGACATCACTCGGGACAGACTGACCCGCGATATGACCACAGGTATTGTGAATGGACAATGCGTGGGAATCCTTTTTGATAACTTTGTGATAACTGAGAGTTTTATCGACGATAACATGTGGTAGTAACGGGATGGACACTTCTAACCTCCAGGTCTTTGATAGTGTTGTTCAATGTAAATATCCACGAAGTATTTACACGAGAATTACACAGTGTACATACACATCACTAGACTTTTACTACTGTAGTCCCGTAACGGGGACTAGCGCTGATCTCCGATGGACCTCGCCTGCTACACCTACACACACTGAAATACTGTGTCTGTACTCTCTGAGCTAACAATGTTACAATGGTAGCATATTAACACAATTAGTCTAAAAGGAACCCAAAAAATTTACTCTAATAGAGGAATCCAGTGTTTGTCACACCTGTGTCGCGATTAACCAGCATAACGAACCGCTGACAGGTCTCCACTGTGATCCATTTAAATTGTAACATGTCTTGACCATTGGTCAATTGACCGGAATGATTATCCTGTGAACAACTAAAGATACTGATCAAGTGTTAGTCACGCATTGACTCCAGACATTGTATACAGTACTCTGCAATGGGACTTAGGCTAACTGACCACTGAAGTGGCCTGACTAACTGACCACTACTAAAGTAGCCGACTGGAGGAGTGAAGGCGAGTCCAGGTGTTTCCAGTGGTCCTAGCCAGTGTGTGGATGGAGTAAGATGTACCTGCAGTGAGAGTTGACTGGCCGGTAGTTTATAGCAGGTTGAATACATACCGACTAGTGCATTAGAACAAACACCTAGACTAGGTGTAATTAATATATACCTGATGCAGGTAGATAGAATGTCGCCTTTTCTGGTGTCGGAGTGCTCGTAAACCTGACAGATTTATCGTCGCTGCTGGTCAGCTTGAGTCATCACCTGTATATTGTTCTGACAGGGCGGTCAACTGAGGATAGACTTGACCATCTGACCATGTGCTACCTGTGCTGTACATGTTTGTTATAACACCAGGAAGTGTGTGTAGTTCCCTAGCCTCCTATTGTTCCCGAGGACTGGACAACCCTCAGACATCACTGGAGGATATAAACAACCTCAAGGTCCAGTGGCCTATGTAAATCTCTACATGTGGAAATCCTACCTGGAAGTTTTCTCCAATATCTTCGGATTTTCTGTGACTTTAATGACCTTTCTTGGGCAATTTGACCGTGATGGACTAACATACATGTACACAGTGATGGGATATTGAAGGAATTCTTCATCATGTAGTTCATAATCATTTGTGAACTACCTGCAAAAGATATGTCATTTTGAGATATATTTCAAAAAGGAAACTCTCTCATTCTGTGATGATTGTTCAATGTCTTTCAATGGTTTCACAAAGTTCCTTTTTTTTTATATATATATTAAAAAATATTCAGGTTGGTGAATGACCTTGTCGAACGGCCACATAGGACTTGGAGAAAGACTTTTAACGAAGTCTTATAACTGGTAATGCTGTGTATACAAAATTCAATCTACTTGGTTTCAGTACATGTACTTGAAGTTTGAGTATATCAATGAAAAAATTGATTTAGCAGCTATTGACACCGATTAGTGCCGAGTAGAGAACGAACAATAAAGTACCCATATTTGAGAAGTTTGAGTAGTATTAAGAAATTGTCACAATATTGGCAGACCATTCAAGCCGTTTCTCACGCTGGGTAATTACCGAAGACCTTATGTGCTCGAAAATCAACAGACAAAGTTAGTGTAACCGGTGTTGTGTCCCATTGAGAAAAGCTTCAACTGAACAAGCTGTGACCGGGATGGCTTAGGTCGTCCGGTAATCTGTCCGATGTTGGTTGTTCACCCCATCACAACAAAGGTTCACAGATTATAACTCTACGGTGCTCCCGGATTATCTGAGTCTAACGCAGCTCACACATGCAGGGATTATGCACTTATTATAGACTGTAATGGCTAAGAAGTAGCAAGGATTGTAGGGGTAGTGTTGAGACAGCTAGGAGACCAATTGTGGTTTACTGATTCATTATAGACAGTTCATGTGTCAAAACAGTCCATAGAGCCAGGACCAAGGATTAAGTGTGGTCAGTGTTATGTCCAACTGGTGGTTATACTACAGACATGAATGATTTGTAAGGAATACACAGCTATAAAGGGAGGCCACCCAACACTGCCTGAATGTGTGGTGTGTTCAGGAGCTGAGTACTGATCACTAGGAATGTTGGAGTGGGGCCCTATACACTCTACTTATATCTGCTGTTGGGATTTATTGTCAGTGGTACCTGTGAAGCAGTCTCCAGGTTTCAGTGGAATATAGCACTGCATACATACTGTTGACAACATGGGATATACCAATTATCAGTTATACCAGTATTACTGATGCCATGCTGCTTAGCCAAATAATCCAATCAAATGGTCTGATATTACAACACATGTGATTGTTTATACCCGGTAGTATTCTGTTGAACTCTGGTACACTGATAATTTTCTGTCATACCGGACCTCTGTTTTCTTGGATTATTTTAAAAACAAACAGACATGCCTGCATATGGGAATCCATGCTTGATACAATATCGTATCAGAAAATTGGATTGTGAAGATGTAGCAGCGTACTGATTTGAGAACTGGGCTGGACACACGTGTTATGGTTGGCGTGTTAAAGCCTCCATACTTTGTGTATATACTGGAAGGTTTGGTGGCGGATTCCACCGATAGATTTCAGGATGACCATGAATGGTCTGTTGCGTTCAGGCAAAAAGTTCTTTGATAACCACACGATGGTAAACAAGGATCGCCACGTTCACTTTGCGATATTTCCATACGTGATGGAAATTCCTGGGAGGGGCGATGAGAATGACAATTATAGCGATCACGAGGAAGACGAAGGCTGGGATACGGAGGAGGAAATAATGAATTTAGAGGAAAATAACAATTACGATTATGGTAATTAGTCTATGGCATTTGTACCAAGTATGGTAATAGGAAGTAGTGATTGCTGGGGTAGTTAATGATTTGATATCTCTAGATAGGGCAGTCACTACAGGATGGTGGTATGTATAGGTAAAGGGTACTGATTCAAAGGTTATAATTGTGGACAAGTCTTCTTCTTCATAGAAGAGCTTCGATAATTATCCGTTGTATATAGAACACACTATAAAAAGTTTTTTGACACAGAATTACTTCCCTTGGCAAGGTATTCATCAACATTAGTAAAGTGAGGGAACCACAGTGGATTGGTTCCATATTCGACCTCCTGGAATTTTCTTAAGTTTATAGCTTTGTATTTTGTTTCCAGATACACAAGATGTGTTAATTAAGGAGTGCATATGGGAAAATGATGACTGAAACAAGTACTACATAAAAAGTGGCCATGGTTATAGTTAATTTTAACATGATGGTATTCGGCCCTAATTTAATACATAATCTATAGACAGTAATGTATATTAATACATTGTATAATGAATAATCTGCACATTGAATGTACAGGGTATACTGATAATTAACAGTTGTATAGTTATTTATTGAAGTAATGGTTTAACACTAGGTTGATGGTGTAAATATGAAATATCAGCTGGAGGCCAACAACAATAAGCTTAACATGATGTTCATGCCTGGTTCACTGAATTTGGTATTTCTGGTTTTCACTAGCATAGGTTTTGAGTCTGGTAATGATATTCTGGAAATAGAAGTCTGACTTTAACAACTGTATGGAGGAGAAGGGGTATTAATCAATATTTTGTTATTCAAGTCAATTTCTGACGGTTTTCAAGAGAGTGAAAAAAGCATTTGTAAAAAACTAAATATGTCAAATTACGAATGTAGCAGTCTTGTAGATTGCTGGAAGGACAGATTTAATGAATGGTAGAACAGATAACAAATATTATAAAGTATTGGGGTTGAAAGTGAAAGTTAGGTACCATTGTTTACCATTATATTACTAAGATTGAAACTTGCTTTTTTTGTTGATTTGTAAAAAAAAAAGTAATATTTGGTGTGGTTTGATCTAAATTATTTGATTACTTCAAATATACTTTAAAAAATTTGAAGTAATTTTACGGAAATTTATATAATGATGACAGAACAGTTTCATTTGACTTTGTAAATCATGTCATGATCATGCCTTCCTTGTGTAACCTACTGTAGTAGCTCCGTCCCCCCGACAGAGAGCCGTGCTTGCCGTAGTCCGTAGCATCACTGCCCTTATCTGTTACGTCATTTCTGGCAATGCTTGATCTTATTACAGCACGACAGAAAAGCTCCGCTTCGAGTGTGTTATCTCCTCCCGAACGAAGCAGAACCCGCGGACGAACTACAACCTCCTCGCAATCTCAACGTAAGTATCCCCCCCAGGACTCTGTCCCCTGGGGGCGGGGACCTTGCCCCAGAAGCTTGACAAGACTTTTGGTGTTTAGAATCTGAAACACTCTTTCCGCATGCCAATGAATGCAGACCTATTTGATGTTGTATTTGAAGTGTGTTGAATATCTCAACTTTTTATGATGCATGGTGTGACATGTGTCTACATAAACCGGGTTCTATGTGGAACAATGTCATAGATTTAATTAATAAAGAAGAAAAGTTGTACTTACAGTGAATATGAATAGTAGATATTACGGAAGGCTTTTCGCCTATTGAATGAGTAACCAGAGTGATGAGTAGAAGAAAATTTGATGCCCGAATGGTTGATATCTAATACTTGTAACTGTTTCACTATTTTCACTCCTGTGTAAAAAACCACTACCACCGTCACAATGAACCTCACACACAGTGAGGCACTCCACTTCTGTAAACCAGCACTACAATCACAGTGGATGTTTACATCACAGCATGCCTGATGTCCACTCACACCCACTACGCACCTCTAGAATGTGATTTCCCTCCATACCCCTCCCAGTGATCAAACCTTGTACTACCGTACTTGATTTCTATTTCCAAATTATTGTTCCTAGCATGTCTGTTGTTCACTTTGAAACAATGTGCATGATATCTGTTACACCTCCTGTGGTATAATTTCTCTAAAACACTTTTTAATTCCTATGTGATGTATACCTAAAGTGAAAGTAGAATATGTGTAATGTCTTATGTGTGTAAAGTGAAAGTAGGAACAACTCTGTTGTGTGTTGCTATCAACTATGTGGAACCTGTATTAGTTGCTAGTTACTGCATGCTACCAATACCTGTTGTGAAGACTTGATGTTCCCTACTGAACTAGCCAATGTAGAACTATAGCTAGATTTAGACATTAATGTCTTCTGATTTCACATTCATAAATGTTTATTTTACAGTGAATGATAACCTGAAGAATCAACCCCTGATGCAAATTTACTGCTGTCTTGTTTAAATTCCATTTTATATATCTTTTCATTGAAGAAGAAGTCAAAATAATGCCTCCAAATCAAGTAATTGTAATAATGTTGTATTAAATCAGGAAGAAATTAAGTTTGTGTTAAAACAGATACTTTATGAGTGAAGAATACTGAATAGAGTTAACTTGAATGGAAGTGTTCTAGGTCGGTACTAAAGCCTTTGCATTTCTATCCGTGATATTTGAGTGATTAAAGTCACAGAAAGCAGTGTCAGCTGACATGTGCCATGTAAATCGCCTTGAAAGTTGTACAAATTCCATTGTGATAAGTGGTGTGTTGTTATGCAAGCAAGCCACAGTCATGATCATTGTGTGAAGTAATGAAATGTACTTACACAGGTATTAAAAAAAAAGAGAATATGTTTGATTTGTTGATGAGAAAATCTTTTCTGCTATCAGTATATTGGACAAAGAGTTGAACTTTCCTATTTTCCTCTACCTTTTGGTGAGAATTTCATATATGCTATGACCAAAGGTAAAGATTAGTTTTCATAGTTGAGACATCAGAACATACTCATTCATATTAAATTTCACAGACCATTCAGCCAATACATTTATTATTATCTTAATGCATACTAGCTACGTAATTATTAAACATGTAATAATTTTTGTTCAAGGTACCTAATGTCACAATATCAGGAGCTAGTACAGTCTACCTAGTTGTATACTTGTGTACCACTATCTATACTGACATCCGTTTTGTGTTTCAGCCAACAGTCGTTCTGGATCCCCCTCGTCCCGTCTGAGTTACCTCACACATACAACGGGCCGGGCAGAGTCCACCATGACCCCTGGGCGTCCACGAAGGTCCGCGATGGTCCGGAGTCAAGGGGCAAGTCGAGAGGGAAGCCCCACCCGCATGAACTTACAGCCAGGTAATATTAATATTGTGAAGTCCAGCTGTTCATTAATGATTGGCCCTGGGTAGGTAGTTTTTCAGGTGTTATGTGTTCCAGAAAATATTTTAGATGTCCAATGTTAAAACATGAAAGGGCTATTTTAAAAGAGAACAGTTTGGTCAGTTACACAAGTTTATTCTGCCGTCTTGAAGATTATGCAGCTGGATGGAGCTGGCCAAGACCAATACTGACTGTTTCATTATTCAAATTTGTGTACTTAACTTAATTATTTCACCCTGTGGGTGATGTCCATTGAAGAAGTAATAAAGACTGTTCATGTATTACAGGTCGTGAGAGGAGGCTTAGCGGCAGTAAGTTGTCTACAACTAAAGCTGGCAAAGGAGGCAGTAAGTACAGACTAAAATTACGTTATGTCCATATTTGGTCATCTTATCAGATGATATGTTAAGAATATAGATGTAAAAAAATAGATACTTAAGTTATGAAAATGATTTCCTAAAAAAGATTTTTTTTTTAAATATCTGGTAATTACATGGATAGGAATTTATTTTTTAATTGAATCGAATAGTCAAAGTGAAATAGAAGGAAAATGAATACAACATAGCATCAACAAATAAGGAATAAATCTTGAGGTAATGCATTAACTCTTTCACCACTGTAGACCAAAATGGACTCATCCAGATCAATGCATGGTAGAGTCTACTAAAGTTACATAGGGGTGAAAGGGTTAAAACAATAAAATCTCAAAATCATAAACATGACATGAAGAAGACATTTCACGATTTGATTTGATGTAACAGATGTGATGGCCCAGAGGTTGCTTCGCCCAGGAGCAGAGCTGGAGGACGCCATGGCCGACGCCCTGGTAAGATTTCCATAACACACGCACAAACACACGGAGGAGTGTGTGAACACAAACACAGACACACAAGTTCTGTTGTCTTTGGCACACATCACAAGTCAACTCAGAATGTTTTTAAACCATAGAAGTGCACGTGTGAGATCTGGAAGTGATGTAATTAAGTTTACACCATTGTTTATAACTATTTTTTAAATAAAACGATCTCCACAGATATTTAAATGAAGTCATGCTCTTACAATATAGGGATGAAATCGTATTTTTAAAAGTAACATTCTGAATTCCAAAAAAAATTGATATGACGGAGAAAATTTTGATTGGACGAAACTGTTGTCTTGTTTTCTAAGTCGCCAAGGGGAGAGCACCCAAAGGTGAGATTTGTGTTATACCAGGGTTGCATGCATTATGTTGTCCAATTGGTTCATTTCATGTCTTTACTTGTTCAGAAATCAATTTTGCTTTCATCAGCTTGACCATGAAGTTAAAACAAATGGTGCATTAAAATATTTTTTTTAAATTATAAGATTCACAAATGTTCATTGGAAAATTCATCATAGAAAAAATATAATTGGATGTTGTAATGTTGATTTTTATGTGGTCATATAATTCCGTTGCTTGTTGTCATATACTGCTGATAAAGAGCGATCACCTTTTGATAATTTTTGCAAGTTTTTGTTATGTTTTATATTCTTTTATTGATGGTTATACCTTCTTTTTTTTTAAATTCTTTGTTCATTATAAATCACCAATTTTTATTTCCATGATTTTGCTTTCATTAAAGATGCAAATTATTTTACTTACAAATTTTAATCATTGTCATTCTGACATGGGTATTTTAATCAATGAATTCTGCATAGATGGGGGTTACAAGTTAAAATTGAACTCTTAAAAGAAAGGAAATATGAGTAAGTCGGGTGGCATATTCTTCACTTATACCCTGAGGTTTACAATGACCATTTCATTTTAGACTTGCAGAGGAATAATAATAAGAATGTTTAGACTTTGTAATTGGTAAAAGTGAAAGATTTTATAATGATTTTTTTGCAGTGCAATGCATTTTGTGTGTGGGTCCATCTACTCCTCATTTCTATAAGTCTAAACTGACATTCTGCCGTTTGTTTCCACAGCACATAGGTCCCATGCGGAGGCGTTATGACACGTACGACTCCGACGACGCGGCCAGTGAAACATCCAGTGTTTGCTCAGAGCGATCCTATAGCTCGCTGGGACGGACTTCCGAGGTAAGAATCACAGTTTCACAATGTTGTTCCGATGTGGCCCTTACAAGAGCGGTAGAAGGCCCCGTATGGAATTCACTGTCCTGTAAAACTCCCAGGAAATTACTGTTAACAACGCCCAAATCCTGTAGGTTCAGGACTGTGTTACATAATTGACACTAGATCTGGTCCTAAAGACTGATATAGATCACTTGCATCAGAAAATTTCGAGTTTTCAATTTCTTCGGAATGTTAATCATAAACGGGTATCGTGCAAAGTATTGATAGTTGCATTATTTATGAAATATGCATTTTTCAGGAGAAAAACATTTTCAGTCCAAATTTTTCAGTATTACTAGAATGTGTATACAACCTGCTGTAGATGTCGGTAAAATAAGGTCTTTGACATTTAATATTAAAAACACAAGTTTATATATATTAAGATCATTTTCATTGCTAGTCCAAACTTCATATATATCATTGTAAAAAAAACAATATTGAACTATATTATGTTTCTATATGATAATTATGTGGAAATCATTTTCCCATTTTATCAGTTTTAATACAAAATGTTTTTATTGAATATTTGTTATTGGAAGAGAAAAAAAGATTAATTTTAGCAAATTTTCTATTCATTGGTTTGTGAAACATTTCTTGCATGGTCGATTCGAAAGAACTTTCAGTTATATCAAACAATCTCTTTTCTCTGCCTGTTCTATTGTCTGATATATTCCGTTACCTGTCTAGTGAGTAGTTCTTTCTTACCAAGAAAATTGTGTCTGAGGATCAAACTTTTGCGTCTAAATTTATTTCTTCTTTATACCAGACTTTCTGTGGTCAACATTCTTAGTTGTGATATATAAATATTCTTCTTTGCTCTTCAAATTCTCATGCATGATGCCCTGTATTCCTTGTCATGATATCTCTGAACCCCAACGTCACGGCAACTGCAAAGTGAAAAAGGGAACAGAAGGTTTAGGGTGAAACTTCAGATTTCCAGTAGCATTCTCATTCCTTTTAGTCATTTTTAACTCACTATTGAGTTATCTACTAGCTTTATAGCATCTATTAATCTTCAATGAAAAGTTGTTTCCATAATTTGAAAAAAATATTGTGACTGAATTATAGACTAGACAACTCAGTTTTTCAGTAATAAGGGGGAAAAACAGGCAAGATAAAAGATTTTTTATGTTTCTTTTTTTTCTGCAATTTCCTTAGAGAGAAGAGATTATATTACACATTAGCGTGTTTTTTGTAGGAATAATTTTGATTACAAATTTTCAGTACTTAAGGAATATTGTACCACAGCACTACAGCTGTCTCCTGTTTAAGACTACACGAGTTATGTGCCCTTTGTAGCTGAGGAAGCAGGAGAGTGATTTCCCTTGGAACCATGATTGTTGATGTGTTGCTTACATGCTTTTTATTTTGTGCTGCTTATTACCATGAAGGCGTCATCCACTGAGTTTGACAAGTGGTACTATCGACTGCCGACACCCACACAGGTATAGGGCCGTGCCTGGACTCATGTTGTACTCTGTATTACCTCCCCTTAGTCCGTGTCTAGACAGACCATGTGATGAACCAGTCAGCCAGCTCCCCCTGTGAATAGCATTATCTGCCCATTTCAGACTCTAAAAAGACTTGTAAGATAGTGAAAATACTAATTATATCAGTCATATTTACTTACGAGATAACCGTAAGTCGTATTTATGCATGAAAGTTTTGCTGAAAATCTGAGAGAAAAAAATGGTTTTTATTTTAGTTGACTAGGGATGCAACATTGTTGAGAATAATTTTACAAGACAGTCATCACAACAAAAAGCAGCTTCTGCTATGATTTATTATCCGTTGGATTTTTGGGTCAAGGAGCCTAGATCTGACTGGTCCGCCGTATGCTACTGACTATTGTATTCTGGGTATATTCTGCAGTTTTTATGATTTTGTGTATAAGTTTTCGTAGTGTTCTAGCAGGGGAGGGCTCTGTGCCAATATGTTTATTTTTTGAAAGTGTGTGTTGTTTTTTTATACGTTTTGTTGCTGCAGTGCATCTTGGGAATGTTCTGATGCATTGTGGGATTGGCATTTTTTTTCTTTTTCAGTTGCTACCATTTATTTGCTCTGCCAAAAACTCATTACAGTGAATGATTGTCAGTGTCTGTGTTTCTGCTTAGAAATCAAAACTAGTGTAGGGAAATATAGTTAGGAAAATAAATAATTTAATTTTAAGCGTGTAAACAGTATATGTTGAGTTGCATTGTGTTTGTTTATACTGGGATATTGATGCTGTCAGTTCAGCTAAAATAATGACAGTTATTACTATTGAGATCAGTAAGAAGCTGAAATATCCCAGTATACGGGATACATCTGTACAATTTATTAAGTTTGGTGATGAAACACTAGAATCAATATTTAAGATAGAAACTGTAGAGTATGAAAAGTCATATTTAGTGTTTCTTTCTGTTCTGTCTCTGCTCCGTGTTGATTGGTCGATCTAGTCGACCAATAAGGATCAGGGTACTTGTAGTTCCTCCTCCACTCCCCCTCCCAACCTACTGGACATACAGGTAACCATTCTCTCATTAACGTGTTTGACCTTGTCAGTTGCTTTTATTGGTGATTCCATGCTGATGTGAGCTTATTTTGCACCAGTTTATTTTTTCATATGGCTGGGTAAGTTGTTGTGCTTACAGTAATACACGTTTGTTGGTTTAAACATTCCGACATTATTTTGCTCAGGTATTTCCCTTTGTTATTTTTATTACCTTATTCAAGTATTTGTTTCTTCAATCATTTTCATCTTTGTCATGAAGAGTAACACGCAGAGAATGGTTATGTTACAGTGTAGTATGGGAAAAAGAATTTCATAAAAAGTTTTTATCAATTTGAATTATTTCCAAAGTTGAGTTTGAAGTATAAATAATAAATTTGTGTTAAAAATAGGACATGATTTGATGTTTTAAGAGTTTTCGTTTAAGACCTCAGAACTCTATTATATCAGCTTTGAAATACATGGAGGTAAAATGTGAATTAATTGTTAAAATACGTAAATCCTTGAATTCATTATGATTAATATCACAAGTGTTATAATGTTACACAAAAATACTTTTATTTCACAATTTATTTATTTTTTTAATTGATATATCAATAGCCTAACGATGCTTGGTATAACTAGATTCTGGTCTTAAAATTTCAAGCCAACAATGACCCCTGTGATTTAATTTTCATACTTTGATCAATATACTGGAATCCTACTTAATCATGGTATTATTTTATATCATATAGATATAAGGTTGTGCAGACTTCCTTACTACAGTAGTGGCCTTCTGATCCATGTCAGACTTCAATACCGACATAGTTCGACATCATTCATCCATCATCGTTATAAGTTATTTTTTAAACTTCTTGCAAAATGTATGTTTCATGTATCATTTCGTATGATTGATAATGATGTCATCTATCAACTCTGTTGTCATGCGTATGTTGTTACCTTGTTTATTAGTTGTATCAATCATCTATGAATATTTTATCATAAATCATGTAGTTATTTTAAAGAAATCGTTTGTGACAAATTAATTTTATTTCTTTATAATCATCTCCTGTCAAGACATGTTATTGTTATGTTGTGTCTTGTTTAGTTTCTAATTAAGTTTGCAAACATCGAGCTTAAATGTAAGTAATGTCTGTTATCACAAAGCCATCAATACCATTTCGTGGTGCATGTTCCAAGTTATGATTTAAAACCTGAGATATTTTGATCATACTTGATAAAGTTATGGGTTTTAGTCAAAACTCTGTGTTGAATGACAGAATTTTTTGATTTTTTTCGTTCTCATTCTTGGGTCATTATCATTGGCCATTTGTACTATATTATTGCCCATTAGAAAATAAAAGGTAAAAAGATAGTACATGTACTTAATGTGTACAGGGAAATTCTTGCCCGTGGTGAAATATTCACCCAAATCTGGTGAAGTCCCATTTTGCCCAGTGTACTAGTGTGCATTGTATATATGGTATAAAAATATTCATGATGGTGAATTGACCAACATTACGATTGTCAAATAAAAGCAAATAATTACTTTCATGACCATTTCCTGCTGCTATACATTGTCTTTTTGTCAGTAGTGAACCATACAATGTCATTGAAATTTTGTATCATTGAGATTCGTTCTGATCAAAACATGGTTGTGTTGTTATAATTCATGGCTTACTGTCATTAGATTTTCCCCTCAGTGTATGGTCAACCATGATCTATGTAGTTGGTTTAGCAAACCAGAACTTTATCATGTTCTACTTCGAGTATAATCAGCAAATGAGAAATTCTGTGTATAATTGTGATATTATCAATATCCCACACGTGTTCCTGTTGATCATGCTGTCATTTACATGACTATTATGGTATTTAGTATATGTATACTGTGTTGAGTACTGCATGTAAAAGTCTATAAGTATTTTTTCTCCATTATGCATGTTGGTTACAATTGATTACAGCAAATATGTTTACATACAGAGTTGTCTCCCCTATATCAAGAAAAATAATTTTTACGGCCAGCTTGTCTGGGATGCTTTAATGAATGAAATATGGTAATGGTCTGTGTAATGGATACAAATCTGTTTGAATTGATGGAAATAAAAAATAATTTACATATCAATTGATGTAAGAGCAAGTAAATCAGGAAAATCAGTCAAATTTGATGAAATTTCACATCTGAGATTGGTAGAACTGAATGGAAATAATTGTGATTGAAAGACATGAGGTTTTAAATGTTATTTTAATGTGTGAGTTTTAAATGTTATTTTAATGTGTGAATTTTATGTTTTTCAGGACACAGCTGAAATCATTACCCTCATAGGAAGTGGTTCCTACACTGACAGGAAGGAAGGTCTCATAGCTCTACAGCATCTCCTGAGGGCACACCGATATCTAAAGTAGGTCATGACTACTGTCACAGGAATCTAATGTAGGTCACAACTACTGTCACATTTATCTCATAGCTCTACAGCATCTCCTTAGGGCACACCGATATCTAAAGTAGGTCATGACTACTGTCACAGGAATCTAATGTAGGTCACGACTACTGTCACATTTATCTCATAGCTCTACAGCATCTCCTGAGGGCACACCGATATCTTAAGTAGGTCATGACTACTGTCACATTTATCTAATGTAGGTCATGACTACTGTCACATTTATCTAATGTAGGTCACGACTACTGTCACATTTATCTAATGTAGGTCACGACTGCTGTCACATTTATCTAATGTAGGTCACGACTGCTGTCACATTTATCTAATGTAGGTCACAACTGCTGTCACATTTATCTAATGTAGGTCACAACTGCTGTCACATTTATCTAATGTAGGTCACAACTGCTGTCACATTTATCTAATGTAGGTCACAACTGCTGTCACATTTATCTAATGTAGGTCACAACTGCTGTCACATTTATCTAATGTAGGTCACAACTGCTGTCACATTTATCTAATGTAGGTCACAACTGCTGTCACATTTATCTAATGTAGGTCACAACTGCTGTCACATTTATCTAATGTAGGTCACAACTGCTGTCACATTTATCTAATGTAGGTCACAACTGCTGTCACATTTATCTAATGTAGGTCACAACTACTGTCACATTTATCTAATGTAGGTCACAACTACTGTCACATTTATCTAATAGCTCTACAAGACCTACGGAGGCTGTACCAATGTCTTCAGTCAATCATGACTTCGTCACAAGAAACAGGAATCTAATTCAGGTCTCTCTGGCTACCCTCAGATTTATTTCATACCTCTGAAGCACCTCCTGAAGGTGTACCAATATCTAAAGTAGGCCATGGTGGCTTCAACCTATACCTTCTCATAGGTTATATAGTTTTTGTCATCTCAGTCGGTCTTGACATCTCTCGGGTCACAAAGCACGTACATTCATTCAGAAGTATATGTACAGACACATTTTAAAGATAGTTAGTTACTTATTGAAATAGGAATGGTACCGTAAGTTGTGATTACCTGTAGCTGTAGAAAATACAATATGCAAGATCAGTCCAAGAAAGAAAAAAAAGCTTATGAATATGAAGTTAATTACGGTAATTCAAGACAAAATTAATCTTTTAATCCTTCTTTTGTAGTCGTGTGGAGCTAAGAAAAGTGACAGAAGTGTTTGCCCGGATGTTCCATGATCCTCACAGCAAAGTAAGTAGGAATCACATGACCGTCTGCCTTATCTCACCTGATGTAATGTAGACCAGCTCATTTGAAAGACTTGCTTATGTCAACAACAGGACTTGTTATTACTACATTTGACACCTACTTGGTCGAAATAATAGGAGCAAGATGGTGGCTAAAATCATTCCTTTTGTATTGATCTCCTTATTGCAGGAAGTCACAGGAAGCATCTCCCATTGTCATCGAAATACCCCCCCCCCCCCGGGCCTTGTTGATATTACACATTAACAAACAAATCGTAGCCCTTCTAACGTACACAATGTATTCAAACATATTTTTTCCAAGAATTGTTGACAAAACCCTGTGGTCACACTCATCTATATCCATACAGTGATTTTTTTAAGCTATATGATTACTGGAACTAATATGTACGCTACCCTTATTCTATCTTGTAGGTGCTGAGTCTATTTTTAGACACTCTAGTAGATCTGATGAATGTACATTCTCGTGACCTGACGGACCAGCTGTACATGATAATGACACGCCTCCTCATGAAGACCGGCGCAGACATGCTCGGCTCCGTCCAGGCCAAAGTTGTCCGGGCACTCGAGGGAGTCAGGTACATCTTCTTCTACTCACTGATCACATGACCAGTCAACAACGATCGCCTGTACTGGACTCTGGTTCAGACTGGTCATTCAGGGGTCGGTCTAAACAGAATTATGTTAGACACAGGAATTAAGAACTGCTTTCAAATTCATAATGTCTAGAGATTTTTTTTTCTCAAAAGTAAGAAATTTTGTTGCTTTTCTGAAATTACATGGTGTTCAGTTTAAAAAATATTTTACTTTCAGGGAAAACTTTCCATGTGATCAACAGTTCAGCATTTTAACGAAGCTACTTATCGATCAAACTCAGTCTCCTAACCTCAAGGTGAGTCCACTACCACAGAACGGTCATCATACAAAGGAACAATGTCAATTTCTGTTACACTTGTTTGTACATATATTTGGAATGTTTACAGGTAGCCAAAAGTGGCCCATTGCAGAGGTGCCAACCAACTCATTATACTTGTGGAGTGAATTCAGTTTTATCACTATAAATATACACTGTTTCATTTCTTTTTTAGATACATACTATAGTTATAAATCTGTTTATTTACCTGAATACTATAGTTATGAATCTGTATATTTTCCTGGAATAATTGAAAAAAAAATTACAAATTATATAAAGACATTCATCAGAATATATCTTAAAAGTTTCAAAAATCCTAAACATCCTCCTGGAGGTCCTTTACAAACCTTTGTAAGAAAGGGAATTTGCCAATGTCTTTGCATGACTCCACTTACAAATTCATAAAGGTTGGTATCTCTGCTGTTACATGGAATGTGTATATAATGGCCAAGTAGCTGAACAGTGCATACAATTTCAGTGTATTCAAGTACCAGCATTAAATAATTGTTATTTACATTTACTGCATCAGGATATCTTCATGTTGTACAGTTATATGTTTGTTATAGCTACTTTTGATGAGCTTTGTAGAAATATGATACAGGGCCTGTTCATCCCCAAGCTCTCTGGAGTCTGGACCTTGCACAAAGATGGTTATGGGCGGAAAGTTTGTCAGATTCATCATAAGTTCATCGTGAAATGTCAACCTTTGTTTCTTGACGAAATGACATATTTTTTCTATATCCATCAGTCTAAATTGATTCTTGCAAAGATATTTCAGTGTCTTTTCTTGTCCTGTAATGTAGCAAACCTTTGCTGTTTCCTTTTAAAATTTGTTTTCCAAATTGCAATTTCGGTGTCAGTAATGTAAAATGAAAAGAAAGGAGAAAATTACATTTAGAATTTAGCATCCCGAATCTGCCTTATATTCGAATACCCTTTGAGTAATCTACAATTAGATATAAATAGTTTTAGTGGGATCGTTTAAGCTTACATCAATTTTCCTCATTTTCTAAAATTGCTGAACCTGATCATAAAAACCTGGATTGTTTTCAAAAGTCTTGTCGTACGAGCGCCTGCTAATGATCAAATTGAATAATTTGTACAGACACGTACGTGGCTTTTATGATCGGGTGACGCAGTGTCAGGTTTGATTTTACATGCTATTGACGATGTGTCGGTATTTTCTCTTCTGTCTGCTTCTTTTAGCCAAAGGTAATGTTGTTTTCCTACTACATCATGCATCCCTGTATATTGTCTTTATCTACTTGGTGTGTGTGTTGCTGCTGTACACGTGTCCACGTCAGGTCTTGTCAACCCCGGTTCTTACAGTTACTGACCTCTGACGAGGTACAGCTGAAAAATTGTTAACCTCCAGTCTTGGAGAGTGCTGCGCTAATAATAGGTCGGTCCAATTGTTGTATGATTCAGTTTCATTCACAATTTGTTCTTACAAATCAGATTTTATGAAATTTTTCAAAATGGCACTTTCATGGAAAACATCTAGAGAAACTTTGAGGGTGAAATTTTTTGAAAAATATGAAACAAATTGTTAAAAAGAAAAAAATCTTGAGATTAGTTGGTTGACGAGACTTGACAGTTCTTCCGTACAATCCACAATCCTAGCAGCAGATTTAGATACTAGTTAGCAGACACAGTTAATATTCTGTGAGGATGTGTAAATTTGTAAAGAGTCATGTCTGTGTCAGCTTCCACATCAGATCACAAACCCAGCAGACTTCGACCTTGACACAGAACACACAAATACCTCATCTCCCTTCACAAGTCAACAGAAATTGGCTTCATGCTTCAAGTAACTGCCTCATGCTTCAGGTGCCTCTCAACAGATGTAGAAGCTAGTCCTTGAAGCATTGACCGAGAAACAAGAGGCTAAAATCACTGAGAGCTTGCACAGCTTAAATGTAACGAATTAAGGTCTTTGTACCTTACAATCTTCGTCGAAGTTTACAACCAGAATATTTTTAGTCCCAGCTTGCAGTAATCTTAATAGAATTTCTGCTGTTGGAAAATATTTTCAATGCCTGCTAAAATCTGGTCAATTTTAAGACTGAGCGCGATAAAGTTAATATACTGCTTTTTTGCCAATTATTCTTTTTTTTTTTTCTCTCTCTCTTTTTATAATTTGAATTTTTGTTTAGTTTAATATAGACCATAAATAAATAGATACCATCTAGATATTTCTTCTTGAGAGATAATGAGATAGCATGTATGTCTTCTTCTGTAAGACTGCTCATTAACGTTAATATTCTGTCTTTTTACTGTTATTTTAATTCTCATTTAGAGATTTTAGTAAAACCACCAATTAAAAGACATCTCTTCTGTCGAAGTAAAGAGATAACCTTGTTGTCTATTGTAAGACTGGGAGCATTAAAGTGAATATAGAATATGTACTGCTTTCCTGCCAAACATTCTCATTTTTCGCTAAAATTTCAATTCTAAGTTTATAAGCGAAACCACTGATAAAATGTTCATTATTAACATGTAGAGAGATATGTCGGATAAAATCAGATTTCATTAAGTCCGTAAAGTCTTCACCAAATAACTTATGCATGCTTATATGGCAGTTACTGTACATATCCATATTCAGAGAAAAACATAATTTATTACATATACACCATATTTGAATTTTAGTTCAGAATTACTTATAGAAAAAAAGTCTTCAAAGTCAATTTTATGAATTGTTGTAAAACATCATCAAAGATGAAGGTTGTAGTGTTTTTGTCGTCATATGTAAATTTGTTTCGTCACCAATGAAATCTGTAGTAAAATTGATAAGTGTTAGCTGGTATGCATCGTGTTGGATTAAGGGAATATGTGGTGTGGTGGTGAGGGAATGTATGGTATGGGTGTGAGGGTATGTGTGGAACGAAAGTTTGTGTGTGTGTGGTACAGGTGTTAGCTAGGTGTGTGCTTGGTAAGGGGTATGTGATAAGGGTCGGGGGTGTGTGGTAAGGGTGCGGAGGATGTGGTAAGAGGGCGGGGTATGTGGTAGGGGGGACGTATGTGTCGTAGAAGTTGTATGGTTGATTCGGTAGAACCAATCGAGTGTGACCGGTGTTGGTGGGCATGAAGAGAAGCATCTTGATGTAGCTGATGACTGTTGTAACAATGTTTAGTGATGAAAATGTGATAAAATGTACATTTTTTCCTGTTCGTGTGATTGTCACATCGTTACAATAATTACACACTTCCAAAACTTGTACATGTCATGGGGTATCTCATGTATGTGTTTCTTTATACGTACTTTTCCGATTTGTGTGTCCTGTTTGAAATCTTAACTTATGCCCCAAAGATATGTTATATTCTCCTGATTTTAGTCTGTTACTACCTCTAGGTGTGTGTTGTTGCCCTCTGGATGGAGTGATATTCAACCCAAGAATGTTATATCCTATATATCCATCGGCTGTTGTGGTTGATCCTGTATTATGACATTGTGTGGATTTTTTCCCCTTTGGTCAGGCCTAATGTTAAATGATAAAAGGTTCATACTAATCCGGACACACAAACTCGTGACATTGATAATCATTGTAGTTTTCTGTGTGTCGACGATGTGTGTTGATATACAGTCGTGTGTGCATGCTGGATATTACTCCATGTATATCATTCTCATATTTTCGAAGGAAAAAAATATATAAATACTTATTGAGCCAGAATCCATGTTAATATGTATCACTTCTGTTTAAACAGTTCAGCCATATGAGATACTGACTTTAGTTTTCGTAGTTCTAAGGATATCTTTCTTTGGGTGACGGATATAGATTGAACTAGTATCATGTAGCATGTTTATTATTGCAGGGTTTTTCATCCTGTAAGCCTTCCAGCATTTTGAAATTTTGAAGCCTCAAAATTTTAATCCATATTTGATCTTTTTCAAGGGCCCTTAAAGGTTTTTATGTTACCGTTTGACGCTTTCTGTGGCATTCTGTGTAGAAATAATGAAGGTCGAGATGGTGTCTAAATCCTAGGCGAGTCTGAAAGAATTGTGGGTAAAATAAAACAAAACTGAGAAGTCTTGTATCATTGATCACAGAGCCTGGCTAAGCTGATGTGATGTCTTTGTGTCGTTGATAATGACTTGCCAGGAGTATTTTGGATTATGTGCGAGATACAAGATTATGAAATCTGTCCACGTTTCCGTGACGTACCAGTAGTACCTCGTTGTTTACGAAATCTGTCCCGTTTTTTAGTGACGTACCACTAATAACGTGTTGTTTGTGTACACAGGTTAAGACCAGCATCCTCCATTACATGCATGGCCTGGTGGCCGACATGGACCCATCAGACTTCATGAATTCCACAGACACACGACTCGCCTTATCTAGGATAATCAACTTCACCACGGAACCAAAGAGTGCTGACGTCCGAAAGGTACAACTGCGTTAGTTTATGAATTTAAAAAAAACATATATATGTATATATATATATTTTGCAAAGTGTTGCAATATAAAGGTGAATCTACATTTTTCTAGCCAAGTAAGACTTCATAATCTCAAAATATTGTTTTAGTACTGACATCTGATGGAGATTAAATCTTATCTTGATTCACAGCAAGAAAAAATGAGTAACATGTAAATCCAGTGAAGTTAGTTGCCCTCTTGATTGGTCCGAATTTAAATTGATACATTTTCTGCAAATGTTTTTTATAAATATTGTGTTTCTGTTTTGTAGGGGGCGCAAGCTGTTCTCATAGCATTGTTTAACTTAAACCCTCCAGAATTCTCTGTTATGTTGTCCCTGCTACCTAAAGCATTCCAGGTAAGTGATGGTGCGGCTGTCTACATAACACCAGGGGCTAACTAACTAGTCCATCAACAAATATTTGGGTGGTAGGGTCTAAATATGTTTGTAAAGTGGGCACCTGGTAAAAAAATGGTCGGTGTCACAAAATGCCGTCATGAAACGCCTATAATGTACTTACTTCTGTAACAGTTTTAATTAAATCAATCAAGCGATTTCTTCAAGCCCCTTTTAAAATTTGTTAGTTTGTCATTACACTTATTATTTGTTTCAACTGCTTAAGTCTCTTCAAAATTTCAAAAGTTAGATATCAAATGATGAACAAGGTTGATCATAGTAATATTTTTGTATGCCATTGATTTTATGATATGAATTTCAGTTAATTTTGCATTCATAAGCCGACACCTAATGCCCTGTGTGATTTGTCTGCTACAGGATAGTGCCACTAAGATTTTACATAACCACATCCGTACGGCGAGTCATGGACATGAAAGTGACGTCCTGTCACCGAGAAACGTTACCAGTCCTCCCAAAAACAGGAGTCGCCCTCCCTCAAGGTCAGACCAGCAGTCACCATGGTTACCAGCATATGTTCTTACACTGTGTTAATCATCAGCTTACCAATGATACTGTTCTTCAGCTTTGTGTTTGGTTTGACAAATTTTCTTTTATACTAGAAACTCTTATAGCGTAAATGGTTCATAAATTGTACGCATTGTGTGTATTTTTCTGTGCCCCTAAAAAATGTGCTTTCTTAATCTTCATACAACATCAGAAAGGAAGTTTTCAATATAATGGTTCATTTGTGATTTTAAAAAAATTGCACTATATATGTATTAATTTCAATAATTTTCAAAATTGACTGTAAAATGTAGAATATGATATAAATGCACTATTTTATGCAAATTATTTTAAACTAATTGTTAAAATTACTTTGCTGTGCAGGGGTGGACACCGGGACGAGATGGAGACCGAGAACATGAACCCTGAGGATATTTATGATTCCATTAAAAAGACTTCCGCTGACATTCAGAATCTTAGTTTTAATAGTAAATTAGAAAATTATGAGGATGTAAGGAAGAAACGAGAATTCACGTCTCAGGATAGTGGTATTCAGGATTTACGCAATGACAGTCCGGATGCCGCAGACACGAGAAAGGGCCAGTACAACCCCTCACACTACCAGGATGAAGTGAGTGACACTATAGTAGAACTTGTCTTAGAAAACACCATATCCAAACAAACTGAACCTGTTAGAAAACACCATATCCAAACAAACTGAACCTGTTAGGAAACACTATATCAAACAAACTGAATCTATTAGAAAACACCATATCAAACAAACTGAACCTATTAGAAAACACCATATCAAACAAACTGAACCTATTAGAAGACACCATATCAAACAAACTGAACCTGTTAGAAGACACTTTGTGTAAAAAACATTTTGTTGGTAGAAGGGCTATTTGGCTTTTCAGCATATAGGTTCTTTTTAAATCATCCTATACTGCATGCTCGCAAATACCCTGACAAGAACATGGATTGTACCATTCCATGTGTTCATTTTGTTAACTTCAGATTTGGATTTATGTGATTAGAATTCCTTAAATATTATTACATAAAATCACATACATAATATTAAGATATTTTATTATTCTAATGCATAATTACTAGGGATATGACACATCTACGTAACATACATTTACTTGCGATTTTTGATATGTATGTATATGTATTATGGAAAGAAATCTTGATTACTAAATATCTCCTGTTCCAGGGTACATTAAATGGTTATAACAAGTCAAGATTAGCAGATACAGAATTTGAGGATAGTGAAATGTTTAACGAAGGTAAGATATAATATATATAACATTTCTCCAAACTAATATCTCTCAGAAAATGTCGCCTACCTATTTGTCCCCGAGTTACAATTTTCCCTTCTCCCTTTTTGTTTTATGAACACTTCGCTGTCATCATTTCTAGTTTCAGCCAGATTCGTATAAATCGTGTCTACAAAAAACTTTGAGTCTATTTTCGTTATGTTTTAAGATCATTACCTTTTCTGTCTGATATTTTCGTAAAAGATGTGACCGAAACATTACCAAATTCTCCTTCCACTATCTCTCACTCCTTTGATCTTGCTCGTTCTGTTGTTTTGTCTCCAACTGTGTGAGTCTTCCTGTCTCAAGTTTATATGCATTTGTGGTATGAGATGAACACATACATGCATTGAAAGGTATTTATTTACTTAATACTATAATGTAAACATCTATGTGACCTACCTGTTGACAGTGCCGGGTAGATGTAGATGGGGGATGTACTAACGGTATACAGACGTACAGTGACATGCCAAATTAATTTTTCACAATTTCTGTGTATTTTAAAAAAAAAATCATTAAATTATTTTGATCTCCTTTTTCAATCATTCTACATAAATTTGATACACTAATGACTATCAAACATTTAATTTTGAAAATGTTTGCAATCGTTTGTGTTTTCCACTTTCAGAAAAAAACAATAAGTCATTGTTCTTGAAGTTAATTTTCTTTTGTTATTTAAAATACAAAGGTATTATGAAAATGGCTCCTTTACATAACACAAAGATAGGTAATTTAAGACTACTCAGTGACTGTGAAATAAAACATTATGAGTTTGTCATCAAAATGAGCAATAGACTAGTTTCTAACAGTACATGTATAGGATATTTTTGATGTATTGAATAGGAAATGAAACGAACAGTCACTGAAGAAACATTCTTCAAAATACATGGAATCTATTGTAAACTGATTGCAAGTGATCAAAGTAATGGTACGTCACTGTAGGCCTTGTTAGGGGTGTCAGAGCGAGGCTGTGGTGGTGGCCGTATATTTACTATTTATAAACATGCATTGATAGAGACAGATTTAAGGACCTTTTAGGTGATTTTTTTCATATGTCATAAAAAGCCTCAAGTTTAAATGTAGTAGATTGTATGTGAAGGCTAGGGAAAGTTTTCAACATTTGCTCTGAAAATATAGGTTTGGCTAGTAGGATTTTTTAGAATTATCTTGCAAGCTAGTACGTAGTAATCAAAGTATAAAATAGAACATATCCCAGACCCTGACCGCTGTAGTAGAGATAATAGATGGTTATTAACCCTTTCACCCCTATGTAACTTTAATAGACTCTACCACGCACTGAACTGGATGAGTCCATTATGGTCTACAGTGGTGAAAGGGTTAAAGGTTCATTTAACAGGTACTTGTGCTTTGTAAAGGGAGACTACTCATAACCAGCACTAGAGTGAAGTGTAAACGATGGATCTTTCATTTTTCGCAGCAAGATTTTCACATAAGAATTCCATTTTTTCAGCCGTCAGTGCTGTGACGTTTGGAGGTTTGTGTGATAGGAAACTTTATACCTGATTACTGTATCCAACTGTATTCCATGCAACTTGTACACCGTGTACACGCATGGCACAATGCTATAGGTGGTGGTTGTATCAGTCATCAATCATTGTTTGGTTAGGAATTTTGCATCACGATTTCATCAAGTTCATTGTCATTGAGCTTTTGTTGTAGTTCCTTCTTCTGTTGAATGAGACAAGCTGTTAGCATTACTGAATAGCAGGAGAAATGATTTTCTGAAAAACACAATGTAACAACAACAAAAAATGAAATTCTTTTCAGAATTCAGTTTCTTTTCCTTCAGAAAAGTTTTTTTGTTTGAAGTTTGATTTAAACATTTTGCAAGCTTTTCATCTGAAGTCTCAAAACTTTCAGCAGCTTGTCAAAGTGAAGGTATTTAAAATAAATTCTAGATCACTGTATTTGTAGGAAAGTGTAAAATTCTGGTTTGGAAATAATTTTTGAACACAGAAGTTTTGTGGAAGTACAAGGAGAAAGGAATTTTGAGTTTGCAAATTTGATATTTTGTTCTGATTTTTTGCCTTCATTTCTAAAACTTCATTTTCAGCATCATTGTAACAATTTGGAGATGTCTTCCGATCGCCTGTATAATCTCGATTCATAGACTAACAAATCCCAGTTCTTTGGAAATTTGTGTACACCTGCATGTGTGACATTTCATAATCTATGAAAAAATATTTCAGCAGCTTTGACATCATGAATATTTCTTCACTTCTCAAAGCCTCAAGAATGAAAATATAAAACAAAAATTCCACAATAAATTGTGGCTATAGTAATAAAAATTATCAAAACAATAGAAGTCTTGAGTTTGACAGTTTTGGCGTGAGGAAGGCATCTCTTGAGCCCTAGAGTTTCTACAACATATAATCAAGGATCATATATTATAATCTTCATATTTAGTATACTATTGCATGCCATATATTACATTCCTACGCATAAACGTGCTTCATTGAGTAAATGCAGGTAATGTTTACGGCAAGTTTCACCTCGAGTCACCTGATGGATCTCGGTCTCATTAGATCTATGTTAAATACAGCATAACCAGTCTGGAAGGTCACAAGACCTGACACTGATTGAGGAGCTGAAGGTCCTACAGAAGTTTATGTAGCATCACTCTCTATGTATCTTACCTGTATGCTCCCAAACAGTGGGTAGATTGACCATTTGTAGTCTCTATTACAATTTATGTTCCATACTTGTACCATCCCAGTCAGCATTTAGCTAGATCATTTTATGTCTCTACTATGATTTCATTATGATTTATGTTTATGTTATCCTGTGTTTGTTAAGTGTAAACCAGCAAGTTTTCAGCCCCAATATATTTGCCCGTTGACGAATAAAGTATGGTGCAAAAAGAATTACATCAATAGTAGCACCATTGGATGTATATTAGTATACATGGGCAAATTCTACGCATTCTTCAATGACTGAGGGCAAAACACTGCCTTAAAAAGTCAAAGGGCAAAAATTGGTGGTGAAAAATGTTATGGTTTACAGTCTGTTATCTGGTGTTTGTATTGTGATGTCCTTCTAATATCGTTAATAATCCCGCCAATAGTTGCTTCTTCTCTGTTGCTGCATTGTCGCGGTACCGACGAAAAAGTGCCTATTAAATGTAAGGTCACTACCTCTGACCTTACACACAATGACCTCTGGTTGTGCACTCTATGACCCCAGCTTGTTGCTACGTCGTTGACTGTTAGGTTTGATGTATCTTTTAACTAGATCCCTGGAAAGCATTGCTCGGTATATCAAGTACCAGCACCGATGGTATGTCATGACACTTTTCAGTTATTTTCTCTCATTTTTTTTTCATTTTTTTTTCTATTATTATCGTTTTTCTTCTTTGTCACTTTTTGTTTTCACTGTTTGTATATTGATTTTAACCCAGTGAATGTCTTCCCCATCCTCTGTATTGTAACAATCCTGGTTTTGTAACCCTCCTTGCCTTGGAATGTCCTAAACTATTGGAATGTTTCTCTGGATGTGGATTATAAAGAGTTACTTCCCCTTATCTGTTGGTAAACTTTTCTCGACACCGTACACTTTTTTTCGGCTATGTACACATCTTCTCCTCCATCCCTTGGTATCGAATAGTTAATTTAGCTATTAACCCTTTCACCACTGTAGACCATAATGGACCCCTCCATATCAATGCATGGTAGAGTCAACTAAAGTTACATAGGGGTGAAAGGGATAACATGTATACAAGTGAGCTATTTGAGATTTATTGACCAGGTATGATTGAGTATTGTAAATCTGAATTATACAAATACGGTTTATTTACCAAATGTATATGAACACAAGACAGCAGTGAAAACAAGATTTAAGTAGTATTAGAGCAAATTTGGTTCATTGGAACAGTGTAGATAGAAATACTAGCTGTATATTTCTCAGAAACAGTATGTGTTTCATTGCATGGTTCTAGTTCTGCATGTATGAATGCTGAATGAAATTTCTTTATAATTTGACATCTAGATATGAATAGGAGAATGTAGTGACCTCACTTAGGAGTTAGTGATTTAACCAGAAGGAATTTCCACTTAACCTTCCTGCACCATTTCACCATTGGACTGCGGGAAATCTTGGGTGTCACTGTTCAAATTAAAACTGCATGTACAATTTCTTAATGTGCCTTAGTTCCAATGGTAAAGGTAAAAGAGTGGGGGGAAATGTTGTTTAACCCTATCATCCAACCAATGAAGGAGTAAAGTTACAGTAAGCCAATAAGGTATCTAGTCCAATCACCAAAGTGCTCTATTCAATAATATAAAGTCCCACAAAAAAAGTGTTTCGTTTAGATAGGAGGCATAGTGAACAGAATCTGTCCGTCCTAGACCATGTCTTTATTCAGTGGAGTATTGATCGTAAGATCAGTTATTGTGCTGTACAGGGAGGACTTGATATAAGTGGTTTGTAGCATGCTGTTTGGGTGGTGACATTTGTCAGGTGTGACTGGTATAGACAGGTAACAGCATGGTTATGTCTGTAAGCTAACTGTATTGTCAGCGCATCGGCATCAAATATCATATACGTGTACCATCGATTCATCAAATATCGACTCACAACCTGTTCAATGTGCCGTCATCTCACATATAACTCAACTGTAAAGTAATCAAACAGATGTACGTATATTGTATCTTGCATGACATTTTAGTTTGTAAGGTCTTGAGAATAGTGAATTTCCATCCCATGGGGATACAAATCACAGGTGAAGCGGAGGATATATCATTTTGATTTGTACTCCTAGGATGATTTTTCGCACTCATTTACATACTTATATGAACATTTTCCTCCCATATCTGTTTTGACATATTATGTTACAGTACAAAAAAAATAAAAATTAGTGGGACAAACAAAATTCTACTCCTGTGTGTCACTTTTCCAAAATGTGACATTTCTTTTAGCTTAATCTGTGTTGATGGTAATTCATACCAAAGGTGATGTCTTGTAGTTACACATCTTAAACTCATTCCCCCCCCTTAAGACATATTTGAACTCTTCCAATTCAAAGGTTGGAATAGTTCATTATGAACTTTCAGAGGTGAATGAAAGGACTTATGAGAGGAACTTGTGCACACATAAATAAAAGTAATACCTACCAGTTGTATACAACAGCACGGCAGTGGTATATTATTTAAGGCATGAAACACAGGTACTTGTTGCGTAGATCTGTGTCGTCCGATGTCATTTTTCTTCTGATGTTGATATTGAAACAGTTGTTTTATAATTTGCTAAAAAAGACGGAGCACAAAAAAATTTGCAGGCTTTTAATCAATATTTCGTTTATTTGAAAAAGTAGGATCAATTTAGATTTATTTTTTTATCAGTTAATTTGCAAATTTATTACAAGCAGTTTTTAGAAAGATATTTATTTAAGATATAGAGTTACTTTGCTGCTAAAGCTTCAGTTTTGTATGTGTTTGCTGCTTACTTTAATCAAATATTTTCTGTTAACTGTAATTTGTGATTAATACATGTGTGGCTAGGCTGTAACCAGAATGAGTTACTGCCTCTCATTGATCGTCGACACCGTCGGCCCAAACTGGTACCTGACTGGCGGTCTTTTCAAATACATCAAGGGGCTTTAAACAGTTCTTGTCTTTTTTAATTCCAGAATGCTCAGAAAACGATATTATATCAGACATCCTCACTGAGTTATCTAATCATAATGAAAGGTAAGTAAACAGAGAACCTTGTATAAAAACGTAAAAAAGAAAATGATAGGGAGCTTTTTAGTGTGCAGAAGAATTTCCAATTCCATTCCATTATTTCTTGTTAAATTGTCATAAAATTATTTGGCAATTCTCCTTCTAGTTTGGTTTTAGAAGGAAATATCTGAAATATCTTTATAATAGCTAAATCTTCATGTACAATTTTAACTAGGAATCATTTCACTAGTTAAGTGTACGTATCAGCCGATGGTTAGTTTGGTGTACCTGGTACGTGTCCGCTGTTGGTGTACCTGGTACGTGTCCGCTGTTGGTGTATGTTTCAGCTGCTGATTAACGAAGCCATTGTTTACGTTTTAGAAATGACCAGCGTAAGAATGCCATGCTGTCTCTGATCAAACTCACCAGGGAAGGCACCTTTGGTCTGTGGGACGAACACTTCAAAACGATCTTACTGATTCTGCTGGAGACGTTAGGAGACAATGATGTTAGTATCCAATCTTACATTTCCAGTAGTATACAACCGTACTTACAGATTCTGAATCATAATTTTATATACATATACAAGAGTCATTGGTAAACAGTGTTTTATATTCAAAAAGTACATTTTGTTACAACTATTGGTCATGAAGGATTTTCAGAATAAAAATACTGGAAGGAAATATGACGTCATAAGATAAGAAATATTCATGTATTGTTATAACGAATAACAATTTGAAGAGAACAAGAAAACTACTGTTATAAGCGTAGACTGTATCAGTTGACTGTGTTATACTTACAGGGTCAAGTGAGAGCCTTAGCACTACGGGTATTACGAGAAATCTTACGGAATCAGCCGCAGCGATTTAGAGATTATGCAGAGTTGACGACTCTCCGGATACTAGAGGCACACAAGGATTCAGTGAGAGAGGTAAGGGTTCAGACCAAATATAATTACTGGGTGTGTTGTCAGTTTTCAGTCACAAAGTAACATGGCACATTAGCTCTCTACTGACTAATTAAAATAAGTTTTCTTAACTTTATTAAAAACAATTTATGAAGAAATCGGAGACATGGTTGTCTAGAGGTAGGATATTTAGCTCTCTACTGACTAATTGAAATAAAAAAAAAAATAACTTTATTAAAACAAATTTTAAGAAGAAATCGGAGGCATGGTAGTCTAGTGATAAGACACCAGGGAGTTGAGAAAGATATTGGCTGCTTGTAAAGGTCCTATAGCCATGGATAATAATTTGTGAACAGCTTTGAGACAACCTAGGTTGTGATATAACAGTAAATCAGAACCTCAAATTATTTAATTATTTATACCATTATTATTAAGAACACTGATACTATATATTGTGATGAAGGGAGATAACTCTGATCACCTTGTTAGCATTACACTTGAGATGAGGTGGTTGGGTTTTTTGTTGTTGTTGACAGATATACAGAGATTTTACAAATTATTACTTATATGTGTTTCCCTCTGTTTTGCCCAGGTGGTACGGTCAGCAGAGGAGTGTGCGGACACACTAGCCAACTACATCGCTCCAGAACAGAGTGTGCGCATTCTCAACCCCATCATACAGACGGCACAATTCCCCATCAACCTCGCTGCAATCAAAATGCAGAACAAGGTCAGACATCCTTCGTTAAATAGATCAAACAAGCTCAGTATTACCTGAAAATAGAAATTGAGAAATTTATTTCATTCATTCTGATTCTGTCAAAAATGTGATTCAAGAGAAATGTATTGAGTTACCGTAAAATGGTTCATGAACTGATACACAGCCTACCGTTGCCCAAGTGGTCTGCAGCATTTTGTCTAAGTGATCTGTAGTCAGCCTGTAGATGTATGTTAAAATCTGATGAATAATTGTATAGATATGTTGTTTATCTGAGTGTGAAAATACCACTTGTGTTCCGTATGTAATTGGGTGTGATGTGTTACAGGTGATAGAACTGTTACCCAAGGAGGCGGTGGAGACGATGATGGGAGAGATGATCCCGGGCCTGCTGAGGGTAAGTACAGCAACTAGTCTGATCTTCTAGTAAAAACAACCAACAAAGTTAAACTAGAATCTGCATTCACAGTATCTATGTCTGGAAAAAGTAACAATCTACTCTGGGATTGTATGGGTCATGTCAGACAAGGTTAGTGTATAGGGGTCATTTTAAACAAAATAATAGTCGTGGCCATCTCTAACAAGGATTATGGTGTAAATCTTTGAAAGCATTAATATTTTGGTAGCACAAATAAGCATGCAGACAGAAATGTATTGTTATTGTGACTGTTTTGTAGGGCTACGATGATCAACAAAGTACAGTGAGGAAGGCTGCCGTGTTCTGTCTGGTGTCAATATATCTCACTGTAGGGGAAGTCATCTGGAACCACCTCACCAAACTCAACTATAGCAAGGTATGTACTCTGTTAGTTAGTCCTGACCCCTACCCCAAACCCCTAACCTCTCCTCCAAACCCTGTATCACCAAACTCAACTATAGCAAGGTCAGTACCCTGGCTTATAGCCCGACCTCAAACCCCTAACTCTATATCACCAAACTCAACTATAGTAAGGTATTACTCTGTTAGTTAGTCCTGGCCCCTACCCCAAACCCCTAACCTCTCCTCCTAACCCTATATCACCAAACTCAACTATAGCAAGGTCAGTACCCTGGCTTATAGCCCCTCCCCCTCCGTCTAATCCTAACCCCCCCCATCATAACCAAACTCAACTATAGCAAGGTCAGTACCCTGGCTTATAGCCCGACCCCAAACCCCTAACCCTATATCACCAAACTAAACTACAGCAAGGTCAGTACCCTGGCTTATAGCCCCTACCCCTCCGTCTAATCCTAACCCACCCCATCATAACCAAACTCAACTATAGCAAGGTCAGTACCCTGGCTTATAGCCCCTACCCCTCAGTCTAACCCTAACCCACCCCATCATAACCAAACTCAACTATAGCAAGGTCAGTACCCTGTCAGTTAGCCCCTGCACCAAACCCCTAACCCTATACATGTATCACCAAACTCAATTATTGCAAGGTCAGTACCCTGCTATTTAGCCCTGACCCCTAACCTCTCCTCATAACCCCATCTCCAAAGCCACCCCAACATCACCAACTAAACTATAGCAGGGTCGGTACCCTGCTATTTAACCCTGACCCCTAACCTCTCCTCATAACCCCATCTCCAAAGCCACCCCAACATCACCAACTAAACTATAGCAAGGTCGGTACCCTGCTATTTAACCCTGACCCCTAACCTCTCCTTCTAACCCCATCCCCAAAGCCACCCCAACATCACCAACTAAACTATAGCAAGGTCGGTAACCTGACATTTTTTCCCTAGCCCTATATCACCAAGCTCAACTATAGCAAGGGCAGTACATGTACCAATTCAGCCCCTACCCCAAACCCATAACCCCACCCCACCCCCTTTTAACGCCATCCCGAAAGCCACCTGGACATCATCAAACTCAACTATAGCAAGGTCAGTATCCTGTCATCTGGCCTCTAACACAAACCTGAACTCATCCCTATATCAACAGACTCAACCACAGACCTGGTCGTCTATCCCATAACTCCAGCCCAGCCCCAATCCATACACCCACTCCTACACAAACTCAATCAAGACATGGTCAGTGCCCCAATCCCAACCTTCACCCTCACACCAGTATCTACCACTACATACCACAGTCTGTATTTATGGCTATCCTCTACATCACCAAAGGTGTTTGTAGACAACTAAGTACCCTATACTCCTGCACTACCCTAGCAGTGACTGACAGGCTGTATAGCCTGGCCACATGGACCAGACAGGACCAGTTTAATGCTAAGATTAGATGACTTGTACAGATACTGGCCGTGAAAGGATCCCATTGTAGACTAAGCTCAGATTCTTGAGTCATATACAAGAATGATTAATGATACCTCATTAGTCTAGGACACATAGAGATGTCTTGTGGGTACCCTGTATGTTCAGATTTGTATGTTCTCTTGTTCAGTGAAGGTACATGTTCCTTGACTCCAAAGTTAAGTCTTAAAACTTTTTCCCTCTTTAAGACATGTAGTCCCCATTACAAATGTTGTAAGTTATTTGTTTAAAGTTAACACTCTCAAGAGCCAAGTTGCTGCTCATTCTGTAGATTATATAATGTAGCTGAAAGTACAGGAGTCCCATTTTAAGGATTACTTACCATATATGCTGGTACCCAAGTGTACAGCTGAATAGACTGGAAAGTTCTTCAAGGTGCACTGGCACAGTGTCTTTCTGTGAGATTGAAACTCACAACAACCTATCTCTTATTGTGTAAAACATGGGAGGGGAGGGAAGGGGGGGGNCTGGTTTGTCTTGATCAGGGACAGAAGAACTAATAACCTCACTCACCTCGCAGAACACTCAACACTTAAGTTAAAAGCCTGACATTGAGAAAAAAGGGGTCATTACATCAAGGTTATATGTCAAAGTGCAGAAATGAGGCAATCGAGTACACAAGTCATATTAAACTATAAATGGTAATAAAAGTCCAGATACATAAAAAGTAATGGTCATTTATACAACCTTAACCGGCCGACAGAGGCAATCCAAAACATTATACTGTAACCATTACAACTAACGTCATCCCAATGACCCCACTTCACCATTATTCCTGTTTTGATAAATTGATAAATTTGAAAAATTGGGTTCAGCATCGATGCTTTTTATAGACCTCTATATGGAATAATTCAAAAACATCTACATACAACATATTTTTAAGTATATCAATTTAGATATATGTAGCTTTTTCATTCCTTTCTAACCGTGCTGTGTTTTACGAGCCACTTTGCCAGATGCTGTCCTGGGGAGGGCAGAAATAAACATTATTGTTGGTAATTTTTTTCATGGAATTTAATTTCCCTTTCAAAGTTAATGGAGCGTGGGGTTTACCTGGGGAGGGAGTCTACCCATGTGTATACGATATAAACTCTCGCCTTTTGTACGTCTCCCCACAGAGCTGTATAGACGGGATCATAAATCATCAATTCCATCCCATATTGACAGATTTGGAAAGAAAGCAGTTTTGTTTGGTCTCAGTTGGACATTTCATTTTAGTCATCACAGGAAAATAGAGATTTATTTTACAAATATGGTCACTCTATCATGAACCAGAGCTGGTTGTCGTAAATTTTACTCGTCTGACAGAAACACGGCTGATGTATCGTCACAGTAGGTTCGTAAGGTGTCTTTTGGAGCCGGCTTTTGTCGGTGATGTGTGTGTACTTTCTAACAACCATCAAAGGTGGAACTTGGTGCAAATATTAGAATACCTTAATATAAGGTGTACGTCTTGTCCTCGGCTAACCTCTTACGAAACTTTGCCCGTTGATCTGTAGGTAGATTGGGATGAATTTGCATATGATAATATCTTTGATCTATAATCTTTAAAAAATTCATCATTCGTAAATAATACTAAAAATTACAAGATTGGACCGTTTATGTTAATTTCATCACAAAATATTCAATCTGGGTTGACGTATAATCTGTGCCCATAAGTCATGTTCTTCTAGGTGCATTCAATTCGTAATTTGTATTTGAAGGGGTGTATGTAGTTCGAAGATTCTTTAACAGTCCTGTAACAACCAGTAATTGTTCAAATTCTCTTTTTATTTCAAAAATCTGTACATTTTCCCAACAACCTTTGACATATTTGTTGAACCTGGCATTAGGTTAAGTCCCAAAACCTTAAAATTCCCCTTACAGTGTCCCTCTAGATGATCCCCTCTAAAGCGTCCCTCCTTTCATCATCCCTCCATATAATGCCATAATGCCAATCATTTCATGTGGAACTTTTGATTAGTCTCGCCATTGTTCAAGGACCATATTTGCTGAAGAGTTTTTCAGTCCACCATCATTAAGATTGTGGGCCGTCCAAATTGTCTGTCATCTGTGGTCAGGCATTTGTTCTTAAACAACTAGTTACTGCTATTTCTCAAGAAGTACAAGACACATCTTTCACACCTTTCATGTGTGGGTTCCCAAAGTATAAGTCTTATTTGATACACATTTATTACTGGACCCCTTTGTAATGCCATGCTTCTGATGGACTAGTAATACTGGTACAGTAGATTTCGCTTAATATCACTTCCCATTTGTCAGAGTAAAACATGATATTAACAGAAACATGACATAAACAGAATACATATTTTCTGACGTTTTTCAGCCCTCAAAACTGGAAGTGAACTTAGTCGAATGCCTAAGTGGTGTGGCTCTACGAAGAAGATTGTAAAATAAAGATATTTTGTAACTAACCTTGTTCTTTACTCTAGTTGAAATATAGTATACGTAAATAAGAATAGAAATAAATATATTCTTTGTAATTATAATTATGATTGTTTACTGCAGTAGTGATGAAGGCATACAAGTGTTTGGCTGGTATTCTGCATTCTGGTACATGTATAATATATATCAGGTTTTATTGCAGATAAGTTATGGCCATGGTCATATTATAACCACGGATAATACAAATTTGTGAACCGCTTTGAGACGACCTATGAAACTAGGTTATGATAAAGGGGTATATAAGAACCTCAAATTATTATTTATCACAGTCATGCTTTATACCAGATACTAATTTGTGTCTTTTCTTCTGCAGCTTAAACTGTTAAACCTATACATCAAGCGGGCCCAGCAGAAAGATTCGGAGAAGAAGGTTCTCTCCCCTAATGGTACAGAATCGTGAGGTGTGATATCTCAGGAACCCAGCCTTGAGTACAACAGTCATCCCCACAGGGGACCACACATGTAGTGGATCTACCTAAATCCTGCATTCTCATTGGATATTCCATGTCATGTGATTGATATCTAAACTTTTCATTGGATGTACGGATGGCGAAAGTTGGGGGTGCATCCTCATATGATTTCAGACATCATACAGTTGAAATAAGGTTTCATTTAGGATGTTGACCTGATGGTATGCCAAGCTGGTGACCAGAGACGTTTGATGTACCAAATGATCTGTGCGCCAGGTCGATGACTCGTACCAACATTCACTGGATGTTTTATGAGCTGTACACTGCGGAACTCAAGCTTCAGTTAGGAGCGCTTATGTGACATGTGATGTGGTTCATTGCTTCCATGGGATATTCAGTGTCATGTGACTTTATTGTCGATGAATGATCATCGGTTCAGTCATCAGGGGCTTCAGAACGTGCCGACGAGGACACCAGCCGTTTTTTTTCGTATCTTATCAATCATAGTAAATGTTCGGGTAAATTATCACGTCGAACTAGTGTGGTCAAAAAGGTGACACCTAACGATCCAATCAGAATGTATGTATCAACTGTAACAAGCCAATCAGAATTACTGTACCAAGTGATTATTTTAAAGCATTTAGTGACCTGCCAATTATGTAATTCCCTTATTTTATCTGCCTCACATGTATTAGACCTTGTGACCCCTATGGAGGCAATGTGGACCAGACCCTCCATTGTGGATGGGGCTGTCCAGTGCAGTCCACGGGGATGACAGGTAGGGGACATGTCCAGGGTCGTTTACATCTCTATATATATATATTTATCTGATACTAGTCCAGGTGTAGTTCCATACATTTTCATGTTTTAATTTGTTGACATCTACGATCAAAATATGGCTACACGCATGATATTATTACGGTTTTGAGTTGCTGGGCTGTGTTCAATGTCAACGGAGAGTGTTTTAATTGTACAATAATTGTTGTGTAAATGTTGAGTAGAATGCCAAGCTTGCTGTACATGCCGTTAATTTATCAGGGTGTGAAAGGGATACATTGTGTATTTTTGATTTACTGTAAAAGACTTCGCATTAATGAGTCACTACTGTTCAGGCCATGGGTGTGTTGTCAATATTTTGACACTCAACCGATGAAAATTCTAAAATCTTATGTGCGCTACCATGTATTTATGTGTGATATGGTCAATGTTTTGAGACTCGGCGAGTTGGGACAGTTTAACTAGTTGTGTGTAACAAGGGTTTTTAACCGACATCCAGTAAAGTATAGGCATGTATTCCACCATTCCATCATAATGTGTTGAGATTCCTTTGCTTCAGAATCCCTACATTAGCCTCAACATCATATGTTTTATGTTCAAGACATTCTACTTCAAATTGTCATCTATGAGTTATTTAGGTGTGTACTCAACCATATAGCATGTGAATACAAGGAAACATTGTCACATTTTGAATCTAAAGTATTTGTAAAAAAAAAAAAAAAAAGTAAATCATGTTTTTCGAGTGAGCGACATGGGTCCTTTAGGCCTGTTTCAGTGCGAGGTTCTCTGCGGAATCCCAGTCTGTTCCTGGAACAATCCATCTGCTCCAAAGATGAAAATCATTGCCTGGCTGGCTCCAGTGTTCTATATAACGGGTGACTCTCTGACATTTACTGCCAATTTTCAATTCTCAGAGTTTAGGGCAGTATTGAAGCTCCTCCTCAATATCTGTCGTTTACCAGTCTCTAGGTGGTGCCCAAGCTGTGCTTCATGAAGTGACTTGAAGAATTATGCCCATTTACGAGGATTATATTTGTTATTGACATAATTGTATTTTTGGTTGTTATGTAATAGCAATATCTGACCCCTTTGTTGTATGTTTGAACTCGATTTCGAACACACGACAATGCATTGAGTACCATACAAATGTGCCTGAAACTGAAAGAGTGCTAAGGTATCTGTTAATTTAAAAATTTTCAAAAAGTTCTCGGATGTAACGGCGGTAAGGTGAAAGTGTAGTTGTTTTGGATGGCTGGTGAGTGTAGGTATATATAAGAATTCGCTCCAGCTATGTGTAAATGTGAGTTGACTGTGGCATTGGTGTTTATGTGCGAGTTAAATGCGCGGGAGTCGACTGTGGCTTTGTTTAGATGTGAGAGCCGTCTGTGGTGATGTATATTTGTGAAGAGTCGGCTGTGGTTTTGTGTATATCAGAGATTTGATTGGCTTTGGGTATTCATGAAAATTCTCATGGGAGTCTACTAGCTTGTAAATGTCATCACTTTGCTCCATGACAAGGACACTCCTTAATGGTACAGGTTTTGTATCATTTAATACCAATACTTCAGCAGAGATATTCACATTTATAAAAATTCATGGTAACGGGGTACATAGTAATTTAATTTCACATCTTTTTGCTTCTCATTTCGTCACAATATGCTGTCGAAATGGAACGTTTTGGAAGACAATTTTTAACAGTTTTAATATTGAAATTAAACCTTAACAAATTTTGTCCTATTATGCTTTCTGATTATGCAATTTATAGATTCTAGTAGGCTGCGACAAGTAAGAAAGAAACCATATCGCCAGAAAAGTTATCACCTAGCAGTATTACAAAGCCTACACTGGCCGACTAATGGTAGATGTCCTTAGACAATCTTACTGACAAAGCTATGTGACAGTCATTTTAAACCGTAGTGATGAAAAAAGAGCCAAAATTAAATGTCATGTTCGGTAAAAGGTCGTTAATCATTTAAACATCCCCCAGAATGGCCAAAAATGAAATATTAAACTTCCTTTTCTGATATGACAACTGATTTCAGGAGGAATCAAGAGTTAATTGAAATGCCAAACCAAATGAACTTTTTCCATGGCAGTTAGTTTCAATGAGATTGTCTGCTGTTGATTGCTGTCTGACATAGTACAATATGTACGGTTCATACATTTTAATGATTTAAAATGATATTACGACACAAATTAAAAGTTGGTTCAAATGCAATATTAAAGATTCAATACTGTTGTCCTTGACGGCTTCATGTGTGTCCTGTGTTGTGCTGCAGAGGGTGGTTGAATGGTTCGTTCAGATGAAATGAGAGTGTGGGCCGTTCTGTTGTGTCAAAGTCTAGATCTGCTCTATTTATTAATCTGTGTCATATGCATTGTGTGTTCCTCCTTCACCCACACTTTTGGAAGTTTGGAAGATTTGTAAGCTGAGTTGTGAAAGGCAACAAGAGTTTGATTGAGCCTGACAACCCGTTTCTAGATAGTCCTCATGTTTGGATATGGTCGCAATGTACTGGGACGTCTTTCACTCTCTTATTTAGATTTCATCTTGTTGTAGATGGATCTGATCGATTTCAAAAAGGAATAAGAAAACTGCCATGCATTCTCATATTGGGTAGCCAGCCGGATGATAAGATTTAATAAAATTTACACATATTGTCAGACGCATGTGGAAACGATGAAATGTGATCTCTGAGACGGCATAGTGATGTGGATGACAGAAATTGGATGTGGAAGGTTGTGTGTTATATATCTACATTAAATACTTAGATTAAATGTTTGAGATGACTCATATTTAATATTCGTGTCTATTAACATGATCATCATAGACATTATATATGAAATAAAAGATGTATTTGATGAAATCTTACTCGCTCAACACTTATCACTGTAAGGATATGTATGGTATACAAAACATATTGATCCTGGGTTTTGTTGCTGGACAGTTGTATTGAAGGTCAACTGGAGTGGTATTCATGTACAATTTTATACATCCATGTCTCAGTCCAGGTTTGGGCAAAGATCAAAGCAAAACTGTTTTCACAGAAAGAAGAGTTCCAAATTATCCATTATAGTAGTGTTCCTTTCCTTCCCTAGATTACAGAATGGACTGTACCTTCCATAGATTTAGATGGATCTATAATGTGACATGGGGGGAAAGATATATATATATATCAATTTAATTTTTTAAAGAAATTTAATGTTATTGAACTCTTCTCTTTTTGAAAAACAGATATAGTGTTTATAAAAAAAATGGTCTCGAGCTTCCTTAAGTGGTATAGAGAGTAAAGTTGTCTCCTGGTAAAATATATTAACTATATATGATATACTGTACTGTAGAAATGTGTTTTTTTTTCTCTTTTCTTGGTGAAATTCATGACTTGTTTTTAAAAAAGACCAGGGTAATTTTTACTGTATAGCTAGCCCTGATGTACCTGTAACTTGTAAATGTGTATAACCGGGAAATATACCTTAATTCAGTTGGTGGATAAAAACTATATATATATACTACATTCGTCGAACCTCCCAACCGTGGCACAAGTATTGATTCAAACAATGTGTATGCCAAAAAGAAAGCAAAAATATTGAATAAATTTTGTTTTTAAATAAATGTCATCGAGCTAAACTGAATTCAAGTTTGAGCCAGTAAAACTGGTTCAGGACTATTATATATATATATGTAACCATGTGTGCTATACTGAAAAAAGTGAACGTACATATGGTTTGAATCAATATTTGTGCATGCATGGAGTCTTGGTGAAAAATTAGTGGATTCTCTATCACTTTTATGTGCATCATATATTAAAATGTTACTAAGTAAGATAAGATCTATAACTTCATGTTCACTGTGTTGTATGGACAGTTTCTTCTGGTTGTCCCAGTATTTTCCCGTTTTAAGTGTAGAGTTATTCCCCTTTTATAAGAAATGATACTGCCATTGTTTTCTTTTTAACCAAGTATAAACGAAACTCTTGTGGAAGAGGTGATATTCTTCTAAGTTTTTAACGTATTTCCACTTTTTATCCTTACATTATCATTAACTGTAAGCCTTAAACTATTTTAAAGTGATATTGATGTGTAACAGTAGTTTCTTCAGCATCAACCAAATAATATTTAAGCTAGACGATTTAAAATGACTTGCTTTTCCTCTTACATGATTCAGGGAGTTGTTTTAGTTATCAACTAAAACTTAAAGTGCAATGAAAACCTGTGGAGAAAAGGAAATAAATCATAACTTTACCCTTTCACCCCTATGTAACTTTAATAGACTCTATCATGCATTGATCTTGATGAGTTCATTATGGTCTACAGTGGTGAAAGTGTTAACTTAAGCTAAGGACAGTTTGTGAAACTGAAACCAGAAATACACTAGGGAAGCTGTTCTACTCTGGTACTCGATATTTGGAGATGGCCGCAGATGTATGCATAGTTTTCCGGCATAAATTAAATATTCATTATTCCACTGAAGATAGGAGGAACAGCAAGTTTTAAAGGAATTGTGTGACAGTTATGAACCACACTTGACCACTGTAGGTAGGGGTAGGACGTAATGTTAGACTATATCATAGATAGCATGTGACCTTATATTCTACACACGAGACATAGTGTAAGCAGGTAGTAGTACTCATATATGAAATGAAATGCAAATGTCAGGAGGTGCGTGGAGTTTGTTTCTTCTGTAGATAATTTATTACTTTCTTTTACACATTGTTAATGAATTCAATTTCATACGGCTGCCTTACTTAATGGTTAGGATAAATGAGGTTGAAAAAATAAGAATTAAGAAAAAACATTTTTTTCTTCTGACGAAGTGTTTTCTGTCTTAAGTGTTTCTCACCACACCTGTATGTGTCAACAAATATTGACTGAAAATGTCATCAAACAGAGTGAAGATGTAGCAAAAATCACCTTTTTGTTAACATTTTATTTACTGTTGACATTTAAGTTTGTTGTGTTCACATGTTATGTTAACATCGTCAACAAAGTTTATACGCTATGTTGACATTTTTCATGTAAGAATGTTGACATGGCAGGTATTTAAGGCTGTATGCTACCTTTCGAATTATACCTCATTTTGTTTAAGAGTTTTTTTCCCTTTAAACAATTGCATAAACTCCTGAGTGTTTTCCATGCATTCTTGTGTGACCTTTCAATATATTGTGTCATTAAGTTAATGAAGTGAGTCAATATTCCCAGGGTTTTCTTGGTGTGCAACTTTTATGGAAAGGAGGTAAACGTTACTGTAAATGTAGCATACAGCCTTAAGTGAGATGCTGTGTAATTAGATGTTGTTCTGTGTTAGAGGCTGTTCTGTCAGTGTAAACACTACACTTTAGACAGTGGTAACACTTACACTCAGTGGTATCATTAGTGTAATCAATGATTATACTTCTCTCAGTTTGTAAAACATCTCTGTGTCCCCAAACACACAGAGAAGTTGCATGCTGAAACACTGCTGTTTTAAATCTCTGTCAGTCGTGGAGAGTGACTGCGGTATGGAATCACGAGAGCGAGATGAACAAGATTTGAATGTTCAGGGGAGAGAGAATGAAGTGTAGAATGTGAGATTTCCCTTGACTAGTGTGTAACACGCTTTAAGTGTCAGTGGTGCACACCTCCGTACGGAACTATAGTGTATGTGTGTAACAGTGTATCATGTTATTATTGTATGTACTTTTGTATTATACACGCTATTACACATGTAAAAATCATGGTATAAGTCATACCAATAAATAAGATTATAAACAACAAATATTGGGGTCCTGTTTTGTGTGTTTATTTGTGCTAATAGTTGGTTACCTGTAAGTTAGCCTTACTGAGATTCACAAGAAGTCAATAACAAGAAAGATTACCAGCTATCGGCATTGTCATGAATTACAGTGGACCTAATGAGCTACAGTGAACTTCATGAACTACCGCTGACATCTACTACTAAATTGGACATCGTGTGCTAAAGCTGACGTCATGAACAAGCATAAACAACAAGATCTGAACACACAAAAAATGCAGTTGACATTGCCTACAATAGACCTCATTGTCAACGGTGGACATTGCCTACAATATACCTCATTTTCTACAGTTGACATTTCCTACTATAGACCTCATTTTCTACAGTTGACATTTCCTACTAAAGACCTCATTTTCTACAGTGGACATTGTCTACAATAGATCTCATTGTCTAGTTGACATTGCCTACAATATATCTCATTGTCTACAGTTGACATTGCCTACAATATACCTCATTGTCTACAGAGGACATTGCCTACAATAGACCTAATTGTCTACATTTGACAGTTGACATTGCCTACAAGAGACATCATTGTCTACAGTGGACATTGCCTACAATAGACCTCATTGTCTACATTTGACAGTTGACATTGCCTACAAGAGACATCATTGTCTACAGTGGACATTGCCTACAAGATACCTCATTGTCTACAGTGGACATTGCCTACAATATACCTCATTGCCTACAGTGGACATTGCCCACGATAGACCTCATTGTCTAAAGTGGACATCGCCTACAATATACCTCATTGTCTACAGTTGACATTGCCTACAATAGACTTCATTATATACAGTTGATATTGCCTACAATACACCTTATTGTCTACAGTTGACATTGCCTACAATAGACCTCATTGTCTACATTTGACAGTTGACATTGCCTACAAGAGACATCATTGTCTACAGTGGACATTGCCTACGATAGACCTCATTGTTTACAGTGGACATTGCCTACAATAGACCTCATTGTCTACAGTGGAAATTGCCTACAAAATACCTCATTATCTACAGTTGACATTGCCTACAATATACCCATTGTCTACAGTGGACATTGCCCACGATAGACCTCATTGTCTACAGTGGACATTGCCTACAATATACCTCATTGTCTATAGTTGACATTACCTACAATAGACCTCATTGTCTACAGTTGACATTGCCTACAATATACCTCATTGTCTACAGCGGACATTGCCTACAATAGACCTCATTGCCTACAGTGGACATTGCCTACAATATACCTCATTGTCTATAGTTGACATTGCCTACAATAGACCTCATTGCCTACAGTGGACATTGCCTACAATATACCTCATTGTCTACAGTGGACATTGCCTACAATAGACCTTACTGTCTACAGTTGACATTCCCTACAATATACCTCATTGTTTACAGTGGACATTGCCTACAATAGACCTCATTGCCTACAGTGGACATTGCCTACAATAGACCTCATTGTCTACAGTGGACTTTGCCTACAATAGACCTCTTTGTCAACGGTTGACATTGCCTACAAGAGACATCATTGTCTACAGTGGACTTTGCCTACAATAGACCTTTGCCTACAATAGACCTCATAGTATACAGTGGACATTGCCTACTATAGACCTCATTATCTACCGTTGACATTGCCTACAATACACCTCATTGTCTACAGTCGACATTACCTACAATAGGCCTCATTGTCTATTGTTGACATTGCATACAATAGACCTCATTGTCTAGTTGACATTGCCTACAGTAGACCTCATGTTCTACAGTCGACATTGCCTACAATAGCCCTCATAGTCTACAGTGGACATTGACTACAATAGACCTCATTATCTACCGTTGACATTGCCTACAAAATACCTTATTATCTACAGTTGACATTGCCTACGATAGATTGCCTACAATACACCTCATTGTCTACAGTCGACATTACCTACAATAGACCCCTCATTGTCTACAGTGTACATTGCCTACAATAGAACCCATTGTCTACAGTTGACATGGCCTACAAAATACCTCAGTGTCTACAGTTGACATTCCCTACAATATACCTCATTGTTTACAGTGTACATTACCTACAATAGGCCTCATTGTCTATTGTTGACATTGCCTACAATAGAGCTCATAGTCTACAGTGGACAATGAGGTCTATCGAAGGCAATGTCCACTGTAAACAATGAGGTATATTGTAGACAATGTCCACTGTAGACTATGAGGTATATTGTAGGGAATGTCAACTGTAGACAACGAGGTCTATCGTAGGCAATGTGCACTGTAAACAATGAGGCATATTGTAGGCAATGACCACTGTAAACAATGAGGGATATTGTAGGGAATGTCAACTGTAGACACTGAGGTATTTTGTAGGCCATGTCAACTGTAGACAACGAGGTCTATCGTAGGCAATGTGCACTGTAAACAATGAGGGATATTGTAGGGAATGTCAACCGTAGACAGTAAGGTCTATCGTAGGCAATGTCCACTGTGGACAATGAGGTCTATTGCAGGCAATGTCCACTGTAAACAATGAGGCATATTGTAGGCAATGACCACTGTAAACAATGAGGTATATTGTAGACAATGTCCACTGTAGAAAATCAGGTCTAATGTAGGTAATGTCAACTGTAGACAATAAGGTCTATTGTAGGCAAGGTCAACTGTAGACAATGAGGTGGATTGTAGGCAATGTCCAATGTAGACAATGAGGAATATTGTAGGCAATGTCCCCTGAGGACAATGAGGTCTATCGTGGGCAATGTCCACTGTAGCCTATGAGGACTATTGTAGGCAATGTCAACTAGACAATGAGGTCTATTGGGCAATGTCCACTGTAGATAATGAGGTCTATTGTAGTCAATGTCAACTGTAGACCTCATTGTCTACTGTTGACATTGCCTACAAAATACCTCATTAGCTACAGTTGACATTGCCTACGATAGATTGCCTACAATACACCTCATTGTCTACAGTGTACATTGCCTACAATAGAACCCATTGTCTACAGTTGACAATACCTACAATAGACCTCAATTACCTACAATAGACCTTACTGTCTACAGTTGACATTACCTACAATAGACCTCATTGTCTATTGTTGACATTGCCTACAATAGACCTCATAGTCTACAGTGGACATTGCCTACAATAGACCTCATTGTCTACAGTGGACTTTGCCTACAATAGACCTCATTGTCTACAGTGGACTTTGCCTACAATAGACCTCATTGTCTACAGTGGACTTTGCCTACAATAGACCTCATTGTCTACAGTGGACTTTGCCTACAATAGACCTCATTGTCTACAGTGGACTTTGCCTACAATAGACCTCATTGTCTACAGTGGACTTTGCCTACAATAGACCTCATTGTCTACAGTGGACTTTGCCTACAATAGACCTCATTGTCTACAGTGGACATTTCCTACTATAGACCTCATTATCTACAGTTGACATTGCCTACAATATACCTCATTGCTACAGTTGACTTTGCCTACAATAGACCTCATTGTCTACAGTGGACATTGCCTAGAATAGACCTCATTGTCTATAGTGGACTTTGCCTACAATAGACCTCATTGTCTACAGTGGACTTTGCCTACAATAGACCTCATTGTCTACCCTGCAATAGACCTCATTGTCTACAGTTGACATGGCCTACAGTAGACCTCATTGTCTACAGTTGACATTGCCTTCAATAGACCTCATTGTCTACAGTGGACATTGCCTACAGTAGACCTCATTGTCTACAGTGGACTTTGCCGACAATATACCTCATTGTCTACAGTAGACATTGCCTACAATAGACCTCATTGTCTACAGTGGACTCTACAGTTGACATTGCCTACAATATACCTCATTGCTACAGTTGACTTTGCCTACAATAGACACACCTCATTGTCTACAGTGGACATTGCCTACGATAGACCTCATTGTCTACAGTGGATATTGCCTACAATATACCTCATTGTCTACAGTGGACATTGCCTACAATACACCTCATTGTCTACAGTGGACATTGCCTACGATAGACCTCATTGTCTACAGTGGATATTGCCTACAATATACAATAGACCTCATTGTCTACAGTGGACATTTCCTACTATAGACCACATTATCTACAGTTGACATTGCCTACAATATACCTCATTGCTACAGTTGACTTTGCCTACAATAGACACACCTCATTGTCTACAGTGGACATTGCCTACGATACACCTCATTGTCTACAGTGGACATTGCCTACGATAGACCTCATTGTCTACAGTTGACATTGCCTACAGTAGACCTCATTGTCTTCAGTTGACATTGCCTTCAATAGACCTCATTGTCTACAGTGGACATTGCCTACGATAGACCTCATTGTCTACAGTTGACATTGCCTACAAAATACCTCATTGTCTACAGTTGACATTGCCTACAATATACCTCATTGTCTACATTGGACATTGCCTACAATAGACCTCATTGTCTACAGTGGACATTAACTACAATAGAACCCATTGTCTACAGTTGACAATACCTACAATAGACCTCATTGTCTACAGTTGACATTGCCTACAATATACCTCATTGTCTACAGTGGACTTTGCCTACAATAGACCTCATTGTCTACCCTGCAATAGACCTCATTGTCTACAGTTGACATTGCCTACAAAATACCTCATTGTCTACAGTTGACATTGCCTACAATAGATCTCATTGTCTACAGTTGACATTGCCTACAATAGACCTCATTGTCTACAGTGGACTTTGCCTACAATAGACCTCATTGTCTACCCTGCAATAGACCTCATTGTCTACAGTTGACATGGCCTACAGTAGACCTCATTGTCTACAGTTGACATTGCCTTCAATAGACCTCATTGTCTACAGTGGACATTGCCTACAGTATACCTCATTGTCTACAGTGGACATTGCCTACGATACACCTCATTGTCTACAGTGGACATTGCCTACGATACACCTCATTGTCTACA